AGACCCCTACGCGCAAGCGAATTATTGTAATAAAATTGAACCAAGTGTTAGTCCCGAAATGACTTGTTTTGTGTCGAGTGGACGTTAAACCCTCATTTCTCTCTCTCTTTAGCGAATGTTATCCTCTTTTACGTTAGATATTGATGTTTTCAATTACCATGGCGTGTCTAAATTTTGGCGCACGGTATGTAAATCTTTGGCCACCCCTGGTGAAACCAACGCCCGTACCCCAAGTAAACCCCGTATTAATGGTGATTTTTAAATAAAACTTTCATAAATAATTTGTGAATATAATCCAACCTTGGTCAAGAATTACAAATATTAACTATTTCTAGATTGCTAACATGCTTAACCCGTCTTCATTCTCCCGGTCGGTGCAGAACAGTAGGATGTTAAATCCCATGTCATTTCATTTCATAACATGTGTAACATCATTATGGCGAGGCGCAGTAAACATTTCTTGGTTATTTCCGTCATATGGCCAGCCCCCCCCCCCCCCATCCCCCGGGAAAAATTTATCGACCATAGAATCAATAGATCAATATTACAGCACCCCTGAGAATACTTCCCGTCCCTAGTTGCTTTGAGCTAGGTACGGCCCTGTGTGATGCACCGCTACGAGGTTATTTCCAAGAATAAAATAATTGACATTCACACACTCCCCCAAACCTCCCCCCATCCCGGATAATAAATTGAAGGACTGGGAGTATAAAAGACGCCACGTATGCGACAACGAGTCGAAAAAGGTGTCAGTAAGATTCGGAAACGCTGCAGTGGGACAAATTTGGTTTGAGTTCGGAACCATATACAGTGGATCAATTCTGGAAAACCACTCAAATTAATAATGCTTGTTTTTTTAGGGTTTTATCGGCGGACAGAGAGGACCTTCATTTTTAGATCTACAACTTATAACTAATACTGATGTAGAAGAGGCATCCCTGTTCTTTACTTTCGCTGCTGTTGGTGGATTGCTTGGGGCGCTGGTAATCGGCACTGCCTATGACAGATTCAACAAACCTAGATTAATATTTCTGGCTAATATTGGTATGGGTGTATGTGTGGGGGTTGTACCACAATGTCGACAATATCCTCTCATGATATTTATCTGGTTCATCACTGGGTTTTGTATGAGGGGTCTAGAAGCAGGTGAGTTCAACAGGGTCCCTTGATTTTATGGGAGCACGGCGGTACTGGCTCACTAACCGGGAGGTGCCTGGTAACAGAGTTCCTTCTTGTGCCAAAAAATTTAGAAGAGAAGTAACAATCATTAGCATTTTTCTCTCCATTGGTAACAGAATTCTTTCTTCAGAGGTTGCATGACCTAAAGAAATTGGAAGTTGCTAGTGTTTTTCAATTCACCACTTTTTTATTTTCTAGGTGGCACAGCAGACGTTGTCAGAGTGTGGAAGTCAGAGAGCCGACCGTATATGTTTATCGTTCATTTAGGGATCTCCGTTGGATCATTATTCTCCCCGTTGGTCACAGAACCGTTTCTTGTGCCAAAACATTTAGTAGAGAATCAAAACTCGGATATTAAATCACAAGACACAGCTATCACCTGCAACGTCACAAATAATGTTACCCTTAATTCAAACATTTCTTGTATCAACAAGCAGAAATTAGACATAGCTGTGATATGCAACACGACTTTTTTGTCAATTGAAAAACCATCAAACATTTCTTGTATCAATAACCAAACAAATTCATTCCAACCCACAGCCTACGTAATACAATTACAAAATGCTTTTATTATATCTGCCATTTTAGCCGTTCTGACGTCATTGCCGTTCTTAGTAAAAAGTTTTAAGTATGAAAGTAATTTAGCCAAGGGAGATAATTCAAGAAAATCCGAAGAACAACGAAATGTGCCTCCATTATATCATGTTACATCTATTGTGTTAATCATGTGTATGCATATATGTAACAGTGGCATTTTTGACGCATTTTCTGCATTTCTAATGACTTTTGTTGTGAAACAAATGGACTGGTCGAAAAAAGATGGCGCCTTAGTAACGTCAGCGTTCTGGGCATCATTAGTTACGGCTCGGATTCTCGTCATTTTTGTTGCGGACTTGATTAGCCCGGCAAAACTTTTACTATTTGCTATGTGCTTTGTAATATCTGCTTTAATAGGATTATGGATAAGTGCTCTATATTTAGCACATACGGGTATTTGGGTATTTGCATGTGTAGCGGGCAGTGCCATATCAATTCTATTTCCTACTACAGTCGCACTCACGGACAAAGAACTCATACCAGTAAACGGAAAGGTTTCTTCATTCATCCTGGTTGCTGGGGCAATTGGTCTTCTTAGCAACCCGGTGATATTAGGCTTCTTCATCAAAGAGTTTTCTGCCCTTTGGTTTTGTTACTTGTTGCTAGGTGAAGCTATCATGTCTGTTGTTTTCCTATTTTTAATTATGATTTACGGAAGAAAGATATTAAAGAGAGTTCGAAAAAAGACCGTCATGGAAATAGACATTAATTCAGAACATGGTGCCCAGGACACATTAATGGACGAGTCAGATAATGTTACTGTTTTAGGATTAGAGGACAAATCTGATGTTTAATATAATTAGTATTTGTTCGTCTAACAGTTTAATTCTTGTTGATTCCTGGAGTAACTCAGAGAACTTACTTTTACCGGTCAAAAGTTTCATCCCTGTTGAATTATAAATTAAATCAAAGTGCGGACAGGGATCTTTGTCGATAATCCGAATTCGACAACTGTCTCGGTTTAGTCGCAAATATTATTGGTAACTAATGCTTGATTAATTCAAGAGAGAACGAGAGAGAGAGAGAGAGAGAGAGAAAGAGAGAGGGGGCAAGTGAGCGAGCGAGAGCGGGTGAGGGAGAGAGGTGTTGATGGTGGTTGTGTGTGTGTCGGGGTGGGGGGTAACATCCAGTTAGCAGAAGGAGTGTTACTGTGGGATGTGGACGCCACAATGACGATCATTTATGAGCATATGTCGATTGTAACCGATTAAATAAATATATGGTTCCAAATGCCTTTGGGAAATTATTTTAATCGATTGCTAATAACAGTTTGTTAGAATATCTAAAGCCCCATCCTATCAGAGTAAAGATCAAATAGACAATACCAAAATTTCGGAAAAAGTTAGAGCCGGTCTACGAGATGAGAATTAACATTAAAGTCAGTGCTGGGAAATCGTTAGTGATCTTTGGCCATATTACAAATTATACAGTTCACAATTCTATGGAATACAATTACTGCTTATTACTGAGCGACGTTTCGACTAGGCTTCTCTAGAGTGGGCCCCTTTTGTCATTATCAAGCGTGATATTCCAATTCAATTACTAAATGCCATTGAAACAATATTACAAATTCCAAGGATTTTGATGTATTATTATTTGTAGTTATCTCCCTTGAAACCATGTTTTGTCTGGTATTCCAGAGCAAAAGGGACCTGCATGGGTATTAGGTTAAATAACTGAGATTAAATAGCTGAACTTTCCGGCAACTTGATATTTTACAGTTTTTTCTACAAAATTCTACCTTATAACCTTAATTCTAAAAAAGAATGGTCTACTTAATTAACAGTCAAAACTCACATTTAATTGGTGACTTTTCCTGGACTTGAAACATATTATTCATCTTTTTCTACAATTTTCAACAATTGCCTTGATTATCCCAGAATTCAATATGGCTGTGTTGCTAAGCTACATGACAGAGCTTCGGGTCTAGCCCACCAATATATTAATTCCCCCTTTGTTACATTTCTCAAAACAAAAAACAGTCATCATGCATAATGGTGACAGCACCCGGGCATAACACCCCAAAAAATTGAACTCGTCCATGATGTTTCATAATCAGCATATATAAAAGAGAGAGAGAGAGAGAGAGACGACACAAACTAGGTCATTCGGGACTAACACATGGTTCAATTTTATTTCAATAATTCGGTTGCGCGTAGGGGTTTTTAGCAGTGGGAGGAAACCGGAGGACCCGGAGAAAACCCTCGAGGTTGGACAGGCGACCCTACTCCTTTCCACATACAACCGGCGAATCGAAACCACACCAGTTGTGTAGGTCGTTAAATCCCATTTCATTTCATTTCCTTTCCTTTCATCTTTCTATAGATCTAAAATGACTCAATGACAGACCTTATGATATAGCGCGTACGTGCTAACCATTCGGTCACTCGAAACCCCTATAACATATATAATCATTTTTATTCGAATCGGAAAACACTAATTGTTTAGTGTACATACTTATATTTCACATTTGTGTAAAACACAGGTGGGATAAATCCGGAACGGTAGGTCGATCTGATATCCGCCATAATGGAACTCAAATCTAAGATCTTTTTATACCTAATATATATGTAAAGTTTCATCTGAACAGGACAAAACTTGTGGCCCCAGGGAGGGATTTTACTTAATTTTTTACTTATTAATTAGCTAATTACTCAAACCCCTCCGGGCTGACATTGATCAAGTATGAATTAAACCGTGGAGAAAAAAACTAGAATCTATGAGCGAACTAATTATCAACGATTTCACTATAACTATTTTTTTTTTTTTTAATTCTGCAACATCTTATTTTTCGTTTGTAAAATTCCTTGCAATAGTAAATAAGTAGAGGCATAACGTCACATGACACAAGAATATCGACCTGTACTCGCAAACTTACTGCATGGCCCCGTTTTACAAGTTAAGTTTCTCTCTCCATTCTAGTACTTCAATAGGCTATAGCTATATTACCACAAGTCTTACGTAGTGTTATGGCTATCACTTAATATTGGCTCAAGTCTAAAGTTCTAATTCTTAAGCCCTGCTTACACTGTCGATGTTTTATCAAATTGGATTCAATTTACCGATTTCATCTGGGTATAGCTTGATGAATTGTGTCTTTTCAAATGTTAAAGGACTCCCAGTGACTCGACTATCGACTTTTTGTCAGCAAATAGACTACTTCAAACCGTTAAAGCATATTGATATAATGGCAATAAATGACATACAGTGTTAACCTGGCTTTAAGTAACTTAAGGCGATCGCAGCTACACCGACATTGATGGTCGATATATTGTGTTCACAATGCAGGGACGAGTGGAAGAAGCAGACGATAAACAAAATGGCCGTGGATTTCTGGCAAAATGGAAGAATACAGCTTACAGGGCCAGACTTCTACACACAACATGGCTGTTTTTATCTTTCATTTCACTGGTAAGAATACATTAACTTATATTACAGAAATCTTCAAGACAGGCGCGTGCATGATAAGTACCCGGTTACCCAGTACTATCACGCTAGTACCAGTTACGAAGGAAGGCAAGTCACAGGGCCAGACATCTACACGCAACATGGCTATTTTTATCTTTCATAGAATACACTAAGAAATCTCCAAGACGATTAAGCGTGCGCGTAATATGTACCCGGTTACCCAGTACCCCGTATGGATAGGGACCACCAATAATTTCTTTCAACAACAGCGTTTATAGTCCTTAAATTACTACAATGATATTGATTTTGCCACGATATTGATTTTTCCACAGTTTGGCACAAACTAGGACGGCATGGATGTAATACACGTGTTTTTTTATGGGACAAGCCACTATACACGAGCTATACAAATTAAAATTGAATACACTTGAACAGCTGTTTGGGTCGTAGGAAATCCAACATTCGGTAGGCTCTCTCTTTGTTTCAGAGGAGATAGTCTGGGCTCTCGGATTCACTGCCCGTGTTGTCTGAGTAAGTTCCTCGGGATTTTTAGGCGTGGTTTTCCCTAGGTGTGCATGTGTATGAACCGTTGACAGTTGGAATTCGATATAACAGTAGGCAGTACAGCGCCACTGTCCGGGCAAAATTTCCCCATAACACGGCATTAGTCGTAGAGAATCCGAAATTCGGTAGGCTCGTTTTTTTTTTGTTTCAGAGGAGCCGCGGTGGCTCTGTTAGTAAGAAGCTGACTCGCTAGCCTGGACGTCTCAGACTCGCTCACCTTGTTGGCTGAGAAAGTTGGCTGTGGTTTCCCCTTGTCAGGACTGTTGGCAGTTGGAATATGTGTAGGCCGTAGTTTCGCTGTCTGCGCAAATATCCCTCTCGAGGCACTCGGCATGGCGTTGACCCGTCTTTATCATCCCGATTGGTGCAGAACAGTAGGAAGTTAAACCCCATTTCATTTCATTGTTTCAAACACAGCACCGATGTGACGGTGTGGAATGGTCCCGTGTGTGATTATCGTTTAGCGCATGCGCAGTTGTAGGAGTTATCTCACACCGTTATAGACGCTGTGTGCATTGAGACCCCGTGATAGGATTACCCTTGCGGATATTCTTACGGTCAAATCCGTTTCTACACTGCAAATATCTACCTAGATTTACCGTATTACCATCAGTATAGGGTGTGAGGTTTCTTTCAATAAAACGTTGTTGGGTTTTTTTAAATGTTCTAATATACAAATAGATTCGACGATCTTTATAATTATTACCGTCAACAATTATTTGGCCCAAAATGTCTAGATCAGCTACTCAGTATTGGTAAAAAATTAATCCAAACTTTCCCTTGTATAAATGCCGATTTCCATACATATTTGAACCCAAATTTACAAGGAGTATTTCTTACCAGTGTTTTCAGATTTAAGTCCCATGGTTTGCATGACAAAAGGCTTATATTTGCCTAATTAATTGAGAAGTTGTTGAAATTTTAATAAGAACTACAAAATTAACAACAATAACAATGATACAGAGATGTACAAAAAAGATTGGAATCAAAGTCGAAGTCAATCACTTAAACCTAAAGCCGAATGTTCTATCAGCAAAATAGTCATTTATATTAACACAAATATAAACAACAAAAGTTTTAAACAAAAAAGATTCTACAGTTAATACAGTAATACATTGTTGTTCTTAGTGTTTAACGTCCGCTTAATCATTTTTATTATCTTAGCGCACGCATCTTTCCTGTGGGAGGGAAACTGGAGTACCCGGAGTAAACCCACGAGGTTGAGAAGGCTCCACTATTTCCAAGCCACATACGCTCACACCAGGGATCGAAACCACAACCGCAAGCCAGAGGTGACCACTAGGCCATCCCAACCCCCCTAGAGTAAAATACAACAACGTAGTAGAAACCATACATGACAACGACAAGATGACAGGGATGAAACGCACCAATGAAACTATACAATGAGTAGATGAGGGAGTTAATTAACTTGAGAATCCATGGCCACTGAGGACGAGTTAACAACAAAAATAGAAACAATACCTAACAAACTAGGTCATTTCGGGACTAACACACATGGTTCAATTTTATTTCAATAATTCGCTTGTGCGTAGGGGTCTTAAGCAGTGGGAGGAAACCGGGGAACTCGGAGAAAACCCCACGAGGTTGGGCAGGCGACCCTACTCCTTGTCACGTACAGTCGGGGATTCGAAACCACGCCAGTTGACTCAATGACAGACCTTATGATACAGCGCGCACGTACTAACCATTCGGCCATCCAACCCCCATACCTAAAAACAAGTAGATCAAAGGCTTATAACACAATAGGTAACATACAAAAGCAAGAAAAGGGAGCCAGTTTGTTTAAAGATCCATGAGGCCACTGAATTCAGAGAGTAATTAATATAATTAAGACATATTATCAGAGTATATTCAATAGATAAATATAACATGATGACGGCGTTTAAGGCTAGATTAAATATAACTGGTATTTAATTACATATGACTATTTAATAAACTCTAATTATATGATAAAATGATAATTGGGAATTTAATAGAGATATAGATTTAATATAATACTTATAATCATGAATATAACAGGGTAGCATAGGCGTACGGGGAAAATTTTTGACTGGGGGGGGGGGGGCGGTGGTGGTTGGTGCCCAAAAAATGTAGTTAGGTTCTTAGTATGTTACATGATAATAATAAATTTGCTGTTAAATTGGTCACATTCAAGAACACAATATTTTTTTTATACAACTGTGTGCCCAAATTTTCCCAGCATTTGGTGCGTAAAATGGGGGGGGGGGGCAGCCGCCCCCAGCCACCCCAGCTCGTACGCCTATGCAGGGTAGTAAATAATAATAACGAATCAAAGGATAAAATCACAGCACAAATGTCCAGTAATGAGGAAAAGTAGAAAACATAATATTATTAAATTAATTAGTCTTACGCGTTGTGCAAGAATATCCCTGTAACACGGTTAAGATCTGGACTGTCCTTTCTTGTATGTATTGCCTCCATTATTTTCCGTGTCTTTTCTATTGGGAGATTAGCTGCCAAGGTTTTATATGACTGGATTCTGTGTCCCAGGGTTGGGCTGGAGGTGTTGTGCTATAGCCGAGTTACTGATGGAGGACTTGGGCTTGTGGTGGCTTATTCTTATATCAAGGACCTGTCTGGTTTAACCGATATATGTGCTGTGACAGGAGAAGGCTACTTATAGACACACTGTATCTGGGGTAGGGGTTTGTTCGAAGGGAGCTTACCATTGGCTTTCAGGATATCGTTTAGGGTTCGTCCTTTGGAGAAGGTGACTTGGATGCCTGTTGGGATGACGGGTGAGATTTGTTGCGTGCTAAGGGTCTCTTTTGGTCTTAATCCGACCCTGACCCAGATATAATGTTTGCTTTTTTTAGGGTTTTATCGGCGGACAAAGAGGACCTTCATTTTTAGATCTCCAACTTCTAACTAATACTGATGTAGAAGAGGCATCTCTATTCTTTACTTCCGCTGCTGTTGGTGGGTTGATTGGTGCGCTGGTAATTGGTGCTTCATATGACAGATTCAACAAACCTAGATTAATATTTCTGGCTAATATTGGTATGGGTGTATGTGTGGGTGTTGTACCACAATGTCGACAATATCCTCTCATGATATTCATCTGGTTCATCACCGGGTTTTTTATGAGAGGTCTAGAAACAGGTAAGTTCAACACGGTCCCTTGATTTTATGAGGGGTCTAAAAACAAGTAAGTTCAACACGGTGCCTTATTTTTATGAGGGGTCTAGAAACAAGTAAGAGACCACTGTTATTATTTATACGGCCATTCAACAGGATCTTTTATTGGGGGGGGGGGGGGTATTATGGGAATACGGTGGCACTTGCTCACTAACCTAGAGGTCCTGTGTTCCACCCCAGTTTTGGCAGATACAGTTCCTGACATAGAAAGCGATAAGTCGTTCGGATGACATGAAAACCCAGGTTCCCTGTGCATGTAAAACACCAAATTGTCATTGGGTCCCACTCCTGCACTGACAGAGAGAACTCAGACTCGGTAATCTCGGCCAACACGACGATAGAACCAGGGACCTCCTGGTTAGTGGACCAGCGCCAGTATCACTGAGCCATCGTGACTCCGTGTGTATTTTATTCTTTAACATATATATTACAATCGTTTCCTTAAACATACATTATGCAAGAGGTAAATCTGTCTATTACAGGTCGTTCTCAAGTATCGCAAAAGTGCCACAAAACACATGCTTTATTTTGATACTTATTAGTTTATATCGAGTAGAAATTGCAATCTACGAGAGCATATTAATCTACGTTTAGCTGAAGTAGTCTTTAGTTTCCAAGAGTTCGAAAAACTGAATAGTGGTGTTGGGACAACTTAGGAAAAGCCAATTTCGTATTTGGGCATAGCCAGTAAAATAGCAATAAACAATAACTGTGTTTACGGTTATTTGACCCACCCCGCAAACCAAACAAGGGTCGGTAGATCGGAAAAATTCTTTCTGTAACGATTTTCGTATAATTTTAAATACGGTAAAGTGTGTTTATTATCAATTTTTAACATAGTCGACCTTAGGATTCTCTACGGGGCAATTATTCGCCACCACTAGTAAAAAGAACCATTTCTTGTGCCAAAACATTTAGTAGCGAAGTAACACTCGGGATTTTCTTGACCCAAACAAACTTATTGACTGCACGGAGACTTAGCTGCTGTGAGCGTATGTTTCACTGGTTGGTAAGTGACAATCTATCTCTATTAGGTGGTACAGAAACTCGGCCATTTATGTTCATAGTTAATTTAAGATTCCCCATAGGAGTATTAGTATCTCAATTGCTAACCGAACTCGTTCTTGTGCCTATACATGTACTAGAGAAACCACCGCCAGACGTTGCATGACTTAAATTGAGAGTTGCTACTGAATTTTAATTAAACATATTTTTTTTTTAGCTGGAACAGCCGATGTTGTCCGAGTGTGGAAGTCAGAGACTCGACCGTATATGTTTATCGTTCATTTAGGATTGTCCACGGGATCATTATTCTCCCCGTTGGTAACAGAACCCTTTCTTGTGCCAAAACACTTAGTAGAGAAGCAAACATTAGACACAGGGGTATCGTGCAACGCTACTTTTGTGTCCATTGAAAACCCACCAAACATTTCTTGTATCAACAACCAAACAAATTCATTCCAGCCCACAACCTACGTAATACAATTACAACATGCTTTTATTATATCGGCCATTTTAGCCGGTTTAGCGTCATTGCCGTTCTTAGTAAAAAGTTTTAAGGACGAAAGTACACTAGCCAAGGTAGATAATTCGAGAAAAGCCGAAGAACAACGAACCGTTCCTCCATTATATTATGTTATATCGATTTTGTTAATTATGTGTATGCATATATGTAACAGCGGTATCTTTGACGCATTTTCTGCATTTCTAATGACTTTTGTTGTGAAACAACTGGACTGGTCGAAAAAAGATGGCGCCTTAGTAACGTCAGCTTTCTGGGCGTGTTTAGTTACGACCCGGATTATCGTCATTTTTGTTGTGGATTTGATTACCCCGGCGAAACTTTTACTATTTGCTTTGTGCTTTGTAATATGTGCCTTAATAGGGTTATGTATGTGTGCTCTATATTTAGTACATACGGGTATTTGGGTGTTTGTGTGTGTCGCAGGCAGTGCTTTATCAGTTCTATTTCCAACACTAATCGCACTCGCGGACAAAGAGCTCATACCAGTAAACGGAAAAGTGTCTTCATTCATCCTGGTTGCTGGGGCAATTGGTCTTCTTACAAACCCGGTGCTATTAGGATTCTTCATCAAAGAGTTCTCTGCCCTTTGGTTTTGTTATCTGTTGCTAATCGAGGCTATCATGTCCGTCGTTTTTCTGTTTTTGATTTTGATTTACGGAAGAATGATATTAAAGAGAGTTCGAAAAAGGACCGTCATGGAAATAGACATTGATTCAGAACATTTTGTCCAGGACACATTAATGGACGATTTAAAGAATGTTGATGTGAATTTAGACGACAAATCTCATGTTTAGTTTGTTTAGTTAGTTTTCGAGCGTCTAACATACATAATACTGCAGACTCAATCCGACGTATCAACTGCTGAGTTTTGTCGAATTCGTTCATTGGATCTGTTGGTGACCGAATTTGAAGCTTCCCTTGATTCATTCATCGACGCTTTGCGGAAGTTTGAGCACTCCAAATACCGAATGTTCAGCACATACCATCATAGCCTCGATCACTCCAAGGTAAATTCATCATGTCCACTTTGACGGCAACAAATGTTAGTCTGGATAAAATGCAATCATTTTGCCATATAGGAATTGGAGTCTCGTCAATGACTTGAATAAAACTATAGATAACTAGATTCAATCCTAAAGTAGTTTTCATCATATCTCACTGGACGTTTTCAGCATGTCTAAGTTAACCTAGTCATCAACAGCTGTTATGCGGTGTCTCCAAGGAGGTCGAATTATCTTCACTTTTGAGCTGATAACTCTCGGCTCATTGACAGCTTCAAATCAAATCGGGTTAACCAACATATTGTCATCAGGAAGTTGGAAGGTTGTTCATAAGGTGTTAAATTCTGGATCTTATCCAACATGCTAATACTTATCGAAAGAAAGACCAGACACAAGAAATGTGACATTTAATCTATCAAAAGGAACTGCTGCAATCCTAGCTCAAAACTCTGTGCCTTCCAGAACTGACTATTGTAATTCTTTACTAACTGGTTAGGGTTCTGCCAAGGAATCAAAATCGTGCGGCTTACATCGTCACTAAAACTGTCTGTTCTCGCCCATATACAACTACGACAATAAATAACAAAAATTATGCATTAAGCCTGTCGCAACGCTGGATCAGACGTTTATTATATTATAGATACAACATTCTTATACAAATACATATATAGTTATAACTTTACATTCGGTCCTGGTCTAAAAAACCGGAGATAAAACTTTATAAGACAAATACTCTGGAAAAACCTATGGACCCCTTCAAATCATTATATGAAAAACACTGAAAACTTGTAGTTTTCAAGTCGACGACAGAAGCTAGAATGACACATCACACACTTATAGACAAGCACGCACGTGCATATCACATCTAATTAATATTCATGTGTCATGACCTACGAACAGACAACTATTTTCAGCTATACGTTGAAACGCTGAAAATTAAATGTCTGTTCTCGCCCATATACAACTACGACAATAAATAACAAAAATTATGCATTAAGCCTGTCGCAACGCTTAGAATCAAAGAACGGGTGAGAATGGTTGTGTTTATTGCTTAAAAACTACCTCGTGGGTTTTCTCCGGGTCCTCCAGCCTCCTCCCACCCCCAAGACCCCCACGCGCAAGCGAACCACTGAAATAAAACCAAAACCACATCCCAGCACCGAAACGTCCCAGTCCGCACCGAGCGGACGCCAAACCCCATCTCTCTCTCTCCCTCTCTCTAAAAACTACAACTGTAACTCTCGGGTAACCTGTAACCGACTATCTAATGAATCTACAATATAGCCGTCCTTGGCTATTTCGCTTTTCCAACGCCCATGTCGCTTTAAACATCTTTCCGTTACATTTGATTGCGCGGCCATGGATACACCCCCTGACCTAAGCGAATGTAGGCCAATATCGGCCTCTTGTCCACATACCTCTTTAAGACGAGAGATAACGGTTTCTCTCGCACGTGTATAACTGATTGGTTTATTTCTATTAACGAGTCTACATTTGAATTTCGATCGAAACATTGGTTTAAAAAAGAAATCATTCGACGTCAAAGATATATTACAATGATGAATATACCTATTAATTATATTTAGTGGACAAGCGGCCGTATTACCTTGACTAATTACAACAGTATTGCCCTGTCTATATTGGTCGGTTTTACTCTTTCTTATGTAAAGCGAAATATATGTATCATGCAATGTTATTTCGCTACATTTCAAGGAACTGGCTTCATCAAAGCGAAGAAAACCATTAAAGCATAAAACAATATAGGCTAAATCTCTCAATATTAAACAATCATTTGAATTATGATATTTTGTACACAATTCAATTATCTGTTGAGAAGTTACTATCGATTTTCTGTTTTTGGATACACTATTATGCCTCTTAACGTATTCCACGAGGTTCTTCACATAATTATTTCCAGTTGGATCCGGCTCGTTGCGCGTTGAATGAGCCCACTTAATTGAATAAATAGAATTCTGAATAACCGATGGTGATTTTCCACTGTCGATTAAACTCGTTAAATATAATGCCACATGAATAGGTTGCGCAGGAATGACGTTAAATTTCTCCTTTTCTGCAAATTCTGACCATCGTTTAAAACCACTGTAATAACTTTTTACTGTATTCTTGCTTTTAGATTCCACTAAATGATGCGCTAAACTTCTTGTTAATGTTTGAACATTATCTGATGTTTGGTTACTTAACTGAGCATCTCGAACGTCTTGTTTGAGAGATTCCTCTAACCCTAAACCTGAAATCAGATCATGTCATACAATTAATTTTTAAAGCGATCATATTAAACTCGACTTTCTTGCTGCCGAAAATACCGTTCTTTCCATACCCTTTCCTAATGTGCTTTGCACTGAACATTTCTTGACTTACAATATACTTTAGAAAAGAACTCCCATCATGTATTTTAGGCCAGTACGGTGCTGATATCCATACGGGGACTACAAGAGTACATTCTTTCAGTTTTTCTTTTATTATCTTATCTATTGTGTTTGATACTAAATATGGAGGTGGAACTAGCCAATTATTTTCTCCGGACCAAGAAGTTGAAAAAGCATCAACCCCACTAGTATATGGACACCAAACTTTAGAACTAAATTTGCAACATTTGGCATTATATTCGTTCGAAAACCTGTCAAATGTATGTGGTCCAAACATGTTGTCAAGTTTGTGAAACATAAAATCATCTATTTGCCAATCGTCTTTATCCGACTGTCGACTCAGTCTGTCAGCTTTATGATTACATTCCCTGGCTATCCACACAGGGATAACCTTGATATCTCTTTCCCTACAAAATTTGTTTATCTCTAATGATTTACTTTGGAGAATTTCGTTACGACTCCCCTTCTCAACAATATTAACCACGTTTTTACAGTCGGTATAGAACCGCAAAGTGTACCCTTCCAGGTCACGCCCACATGAAAATAACACACGTTTCATGGCTTCAAGTTCTCTCCACGTAGAACTTTGATTGCTCTCACAAAAGGACCAATGTCCCACGAACTCTTGGTTAGTCTCATTTATGTATCCCCCGTATCCATACCCAGATGCATCCGAAAAGATATTATAATCGATTTCGAAATTATGTTTTATACCCATGCCAAAATCGAAATTTGAACTGTTCTGCCAAAATCTAAGCTCGCTAATGGCGCTTTGGCCAACTACTACCGGAGCATTCCAACTTGCTCTTGACTCAACAACTTTGTACAATTCTCTTGTTCTCAAAAGAACTAATTTGCCAATTCCAGGCTGCATGGATATTACTTGTCCGACTATATTTGCTACAGTTCTGACTTTTATCAACTCGTTTTGACCAATTTGATCGATAATCATGTTGATATTCCGAATTAATTTTACTATACGAGAATCAGACACATAAACATTCCCTTCAGAAAAATCCCATTTGAGACCTAACCACTGAATGTTTTGCTGTGGACACCACTGACTTTTACTCTCTGCTATGAGAAAACCACATTCTATTAAATCAGATCTTACTACGTCGCTTACTTTTCGAGCCTCGGCGAAATTATTTGCCCCTCCCAAGCCATCATCCAAAAACATGACTATCTTTAACCCCTTATTTCTCCAATAGGAAATCAATTCTCTTAACGTTTTAGTAAATATGTATCCTGCTGTAGAAATTCCAAATGGAAGTACATTAAAAACATAGTATTTAATAACATCGCCAAAATCCCAGGAAAACCCAAGGTATCGTCTATGGCCAGGATAAATTTCTATGTGATGATAAGCAGAAGATAAATCGTATCCAAATACAAAATCGCCTTTCTCAAATATTTGCTTTGCAACAGTAGCGTCTTCATATTTAAATTTATATTTATATAGGTGGGGATTAATATGTCTACAATCTAACACAAGACGAAGTTTTGATTTGTTTTTGGCTACAGTTAAAGGGTTAATGACTTCTGGTTTATGAAATATTTCAGAAATGCAACCTTTAAACAGTAAATTTTGAATTTCTTTGGTTACGAAATCCGGCTCGCTTAAAGCCGATTTATTGTTTTTTAAAGCTACAGAACATGGCACAGTATGCAGAGGGAGTTTATAGCCATGTTTAATTACTTCTAAAATGTAAGGATTACAACCTATCTCCGTCCATTTGAAAATAGCTTTTCTTAGACGGCCTACTGGGCTATCTATTCCCTTTTTGCCAACTTTACCGGCTAATTGTGCGAAATCAAACAGAGATTCGCCCAAAATATCTGGGCTATTACTTATCTTATCTGCCCTGTTATTGCTGGCTGCCTGATTAATTTCCCTGCATTCGTTTCGCCAGTGGCCGGCTTTCCCACATGCAAAACATAAACCAGGTTTGAAATTTCTTTGGTTGGTCTGTAGTTGCTCAGATCTCTGGTTTTGGACTACATATGGCGTAAACCGATTTTTTGGTAAACGACGCTGCTTCGCTTTGACTTTACGGAAGGCAGAAGATTCAGCCTTCTGGATCTTCTTTTCATCGTCGGTATCATCTGCGATGCTATTTAGATCATATTCTTCTGCAGCCATCCATCCATATTGTGAACTATCAGCTAACTTGATCAGTTTCTGACGGTGATTTATGACGTCTATACCTTCGCTAATCTTGGTGTTCAATTCATCGGCGATCGCGCCTTCAAAATTATCTTGTAGTAAATCTTTGGCTTCATACAATTTCTGGGCGACTTTTGAGTTGGCCTTGTGTTGCTCTTCATTCCCCTTCTTATTAAATTTATATGACGTCTGACTTAGTTGCTCAATACGAGCTACCTGAGATTCACTTTGATTTCGTTGATTCTCGCTAATCTGTTTTTGAAATACATTCAATTTGGTTGAAATCAGATTGTCTATTTTATCTAACATAGATGACTGTGATTCTAAAACTTTAGATGATATAAAACTTGATATTGCCGCCTGATCCATTGTTGAAACTTGTAGTTTTCAAGTCGACGACAGAAGCTAGAATGACACATCACACACTTATAGACAAGCACGCACGTGCATATCACATCTAATTAATATTCATGTGTCATGACCTACGAACAGACAACTATTTTCAGCTATACGTTGAAACGCTGAAAATTAAATTTATAAATAGTCTGTAGTTTGAAGGTCTCTTTCATTAAATGTAAAATATACAAAGTACATTCCATAAACACAATAAAACGACCAATAGAAAGACATTCTGTCTAACAAATCATTGTATATGTTCAATGTTTAAAAGCTCTTTTTAATGAAAGGAAAAGAGTAAAGCAAATACGTAATACAAACACGTGATAATATATTGGATTGAAGAAATGTATAACCAAATATGGATATATGCTCAATCTTTTTAGCTCTAGGGTAATATTATAAATTATTTGTTACCAAATATGGCTACGTACTGGGTATTTGACGTCTTTAAAAGTCTTACAAATACAAGCACTTTACAATAAACTAAGAATGGACAGCTTTCTAAATATCATATAATACGGGTGCGGCTTATTATTGCTTATTACAGTTTTAACGTCCAATACATTATTAATATGGGCTGTTGATGTTTAATTAAGATTATTTGCATATAAAAGGTAAAAATATCAACAAATTCTTTTCTGTAAAAA